CCCCAACCCTTTCTTTCATATCAACCATCTGTCGTCCTTATTTTTCCTTCTTCTTTTTGTTCTTTATTTGTGTTTGTTTCTCTCTTGTTGTAACACCTCTAATCTTCGGTACTTACATAACTTTATTGGTTGCAAGTGCCGTTAAAGTCTTATGAAAACTAAATAACCTGTCCCGGCAGTTCACCAAACAGTTTACTGTTGACATACTTGATTTGACCTTTTTGTTCTACAGTGGAGCCCTCTTAACTCTTTATCTCCGGCAAACCTCTCCCAGCGGCTCTCGGTACATCCCGTCTTTATGACTTTGACATCAAATTACTTTTCGGCAATTGCTGAAAACAGGTCTCTTTTATCGGGAGTTCATTCATAAGATATTGAACTGTATAAATAAGTTCACTTGTTTTGATTTGATGACCCATTTAGTGACGTTTTTGCCATTTTTAGATTTAGTACCAAAGAAGGGCCTGGCATAGTGGGTTTACCCCCCCCTGCGGAGATAAAGAGTTAAACTGAATATATATAATCCGAATTCAGCGATAAACTGAACATGCATACTCCGAAATCAGCGATAAAGCAAAAGAAAAATAAAGTCCCTGATTTTTGTTCTTTTATTTGTGCAACCTCTTTAAACGGAAAACCCGGCTTAACTGAAAGAAAGCAGGCGGTCCGGTAGATTTTGGTTGATTTTGCAGTCACACAACCGGCAGTACAAAATGCCCCCGTCTGGTCACCCGGCCAGGAGTGTTGCTGCAGCGGACTTCTCGGGCCTGGCACAGAACTGCCTCAAGTGATCGGAACGGATAATTTTCACCGTCGCATTATTGTGGCAAGTGACGGCAAAGAGTTAAGTGGAACCCTCTGTACATTGTCTTCATTGCTCACCCCGTTTTTGAAGTTGGCCTTAGCTGCTACACTGAGGTCAAGCAGATGAGCTAGACAAGTCCATGGTTAATCCCTCAATGCACCTGTGGGTGATTGCCAGGTGCTCTTGTGTGGTTGCTCCTTCTTTCTTATCAAACATCTATTGTCCTTATCTCTCCTCCTTTTTTATTTTGTTTGTTACTCTCTTGTAACACTTCTAGGTTTCGGCACTTATATGACCTTATTGTGTTGCAAGTGGCGTAAAACTTTTACTAAAAAACTAAACTAAACAATTCATACCTCTGCAGAAAGGTGCACGGAAAAAGGATACTTCAGTTTATATGAAGCCAAAAGATTTGGATATAGAAGTTACCTGCAACGGCAGATGTTTCGTAATGATGGGCTGGTCTATTTTTTACCAACCTTGTATGTTTAATGTTTAATGTCATGTATTGTGTGTTTTGATATATTTTAAGAGTCATTTTAATCCTCATCTCTTCTATTTCACCAAAGAAATTTTCTTCTCTGCAGAAGCTTTGGTCACCATCAGGTATTTACGGACAAACTGCTTTATTATTATTTATCTATATCGTGTTTATTTATGTTTTAAAACTTTATCAACTTTTTTCATGTTTTGTTCCAGATATCGTAAAGTGTCAGGCGATACATGCCAAGGGGGAGAGGCACATAAATTTGCACCTTTGCTGTATTCCTGCCCCGTTCGTGGTGAGTCTGCCGTCTGGCATGAGAAGCGGTAGTTCTTTTTTAGGATGAAGACAAATGAGCATATCACACTAAAGTAGGATTTTTTCTTCGTATCGCCTTTGTATATTGTTTGCTAAATTTTCCCGAAATGACATGAAAATTTGTTCTTTAGCTAAATATGCATGAATGTAAAATATGTTTTTTCGCTGAATTTACGTGAATGGAAAATATGTGTGTGGCTCTGAGAAAACCCTTCACAAGGTGCAAAATTTCAAAATGAACTTTTTTGTATATTTTAAAAGACACATCTTTTC